CTTCTTCTTCTCCTTTTTTTTTTTTTTAAAGATTTATTTATTTATTTGTGCATACAGTACTGGAGTACAGGCCAAAGGCTCAGTGGCGGTGAGAGGCTTCACCAGAGACAGAGTTGGGAGCAGAACAGGCAGATCTACGAAGTACACTGCTGAGGGAAGCAGCGGGAAGGTCAGGAGAGGTCTGCCACACCATGTGGTCTCCTCCGGGGCAGGCGGCAGGCGGGAATCAACTCATGCGGAAGTGGCTTCAGATTCTCAGTGCTGTGCTTTAACCCGCTGTGCCACCAGGGAGGGCCAAAACTTATTTTTATTTAGCAATCCAAAGCAATTTGTGACACAACTGGATTGTCTTAGCCTCATAAGGCGGCTGCCTGGTTCAGGCAAGCTGCCCCAGGGTGAGAAATTCCAATGTCTCCTGAGGCAAAAGGCAAGCCCCAGGAGAAGTAAGACCCCAGGGCATAAAAACTCCTGGGAAGCCCCCTTGGCTTCTTTAAATAAAAAAGCAAATCTCAGATAAGACTCCCAGGGCATAAGGACTCATGGACAAATTTTAACCTTGATTACACAGGTGTTGCTTAATACACAACTGTACAACTTTCCCTTAATTTACTCCTTTTTAAAACAAGCACTAACTACTCTCTGCTAGCCTTAAATTAGCCACTAGCTTTTCTTTAGACAATCACTGATAATACTGCTAACATAATTTATTACTTCCCCAAGACCCCTAATAACCTTTTGCTAACAGCTCATCCCTTCCCAGACCCCTCTTCCTTTGAGTGATAACTAAACATCTGTATACATGACAATTAGCACAAAAACGTATAATCTAGTACACTATAAAATGTTAAGAGAAAATTGCTTTGTTCCCCTTGTCCTTGAGGACGTTTTATGGCCATCACTCATTAACTTATCCTATGCATTATTGCAGTTAACTACTTGCTACACGGTATAAATAAAGGCCTGCTGAGGGAATGAGCAGGAAGACTTGCACCTAACCCTGACTCCTGTGTCTTCCTTGGGCCGGCTCCTCTCTCTCGCGGAAGTCTTCCCGGAAGTCTTCCCACCTTAGGGCCCTGCCTGTCTTGCCTCCAGACATCTCAATAGTTGGGGCTGGTCTCCAACAAATTTGAACTTCTTAAACATTCTCTAAAAACAAAGACCAGTAATTATTTATTCACCACACATTTAGACATGAGTTCTCCAAATCCCTTATAGCAGGATTAAGTTCTCAGAGGTTTGGGAATACAGGGTCCAAGAACTTCAGAAATAGATATTAGGGCCTTCCTGGTGGCACAGGTTTTAAAGTCAGTACTTTGAAGTTATCTGCATCCACTGCCACACAGTTTGATCCCTGGCCAGGGAGGTGGCCTACATGGTGAAACAGACCTCTCCTGTCTTGCCCTCTCCTCTCCTCAGCAGTGTGTTTCAGTGGAAATGCCTATTCTGCTTCCCACTTTGTCTCTGGTGAATTCTCTCAACCTCCAACATCTCTGGCCTATACCCCAGTTCTTGTGTGCATAAATAAATACATCAAATAAATACATCTTTAAAAAATGAAAGAAATATTAAAGACAATGAGTTTGTTGCTCCTTCTATTATGTAAATTAATGAAAAGGAAAAAAAAATGGTGCCTTGGATCTAGGAAAGCTAGGGCAGAATGTTTCCAGTCAGATGGACCCAGGTCCTTCTGCTGATTATTTACTGACCCTGCCACCTGTGGACCAAATTATGAATCAAACCACTGGGTGTGATAAGAACTTCATCCATTACAGTAAGATCAATCAACAGTTACTAATTGGTACCAAGATAACTAAGTTTTATATCATTTAGATTTGTTTGGGCTATATTATGCACATCTGGTTATGCTGTGATGTTTAAATGCTTCTTTAAATGTCCCTTCAAAGATAAATCTTAGTAAAACTAAGCGTGCTGAAAGGTGTTCCTGTCCTCATTTTTACTCAAATACTCAAAGTTAGTAAAGTAAAAATAGCATAGTAGTAGCAAATAGAAAATGTAGATAATTTTCAGAATTAAAGGGAACAAAAGCACAGTGTATTCAGCACTGGAGTACATGAGAACCCTCAAGTGATTTGTTTTAGTTTTACTATGGTTTGACTAGATTTTAGCAGCTGCAATAAGAATCTCTTCTGTTGTAACTGATTGGCACTAACAAGTGCTGCCAAAAAGAGTAGGATATTTCTTATAGAATTAACAGGATTTTTTTTTTGAGAACGCTTAAGCCTCTTTTTATATGCACATTTTATTTTCTATATATATTTTTATAACATTGTTCATTGCCAAACAATGTGTAGTCCCCACAGAGTTTCCACCACCATTTCACCTGTGCACCATCACCTTTCCTACTTGTCTCCCTCCCCCTTAAGCCTCCTTTAATGTCACTTCTAGCAGATAGCTTATATATCTATAAGCTCACAGACTTAAAGACTGAATGATTAATTTACTTTTATTTCTTGAGTGATTGAGCTTTTTAAAAATATAGTTAAGAATTAACAGTTTTATTGTGTCAATAACACACACACTCTCTTCCCCCACCACACACATCCTATATGAATGAAAAAGAAGAATATTAATATTCATTAAGTGCCTGTTAGACACCATGCGCTATGCTGAGTGTTTTAAGTATCCATCTCATTTTTCATAACACTACTAGATAAACATTCACTTTATGGATGAGAAAATTTAGCCTGAGGGGTCACCAATATCACAGCTTCAGTGCAAATGTATGGGGCTCTATTTCACCTATTTTTTTCCCCTCTATACCATACTACTTTAGAAACTCTATAATGGCCTTTAAAGTTAGCTCTATGTTTCAAACTTCATTTTCTTCACTGTAAAATAGACTAGCTTTACTCACTTCTAATTCTAACATTTTATGAAACCTATGATTCTTTTGGGAATCAAAACAAATACATCCATAAGTGAAGGTGTAATTGCTCAACACAAAATGTGCAAAGAACTAGAGGGAGAGGTTCACAGAAAAATAAATTAAAATTGCTTATGAATAAAGGAAAATATGTTCAACTTCACTCCTAGTTTAAGAAATAAAAATTACAATATCAACAGTTTACTATTATCATCTTTGAGATGAGCAAAAGTTGTGGGTAAAAGGATACTCATATATACCAGATGGTTCTTAACAGGGATACTAGCACTGTGGAATGTGATTTGGTATTATTTGTGGTATACTTTCGTTTCTTTGATTTTTCTATGTAAATATATCCCCTGGCACCTTCAGTGGAACTCTTCTAACCACTTCCAGGTTTACACTGCCCAATTCAAATAAATTTGGCTCAGATGAACGTTCGTGGTTTTTTTAATATTATAACTCACATAAGCATACGAAGTATTATTCGCCTCAGCAGTAGATGAAATCGTAAAAGACATAAAGTGATCTTAATATCCATCTACTGAGGAATTGTTAAATCTGTTAAATCAACTAAAATAGGTCCATACCACAGAATTTTGTGCAGTATTTAAAAAGAGCACAGAAGATAAAGACAAGCTATTTTGGAATAATATTCAAATACATGAAGTGAAATCAGCAGGAAGTAAAAAACAAAACATGATAAATACAAATATGCTTCTCCAGGCATAAACTATTTATAGGAGGAAGTGTGAGAAATTAGTAAGAGTGGTTTTCTCTTGGGAAGAAGCTACAAGTTTGAGGTAGAAAAGATATGTTTATCATGTGTCTTTTAATTTTACTATGAATAACATGATATAGTCTTCACTTTTTCAAATTAAAAAAGTGCTTATAATGAAAATGAAACTTATACAGTAATTGAAGGACTCTTTAAATGTGAAATCTACTATAAACCTAATAGTAATAATAAGACCTAACACAGGAAATATTTTAAATATCGAAATTCTCAAGAATAATCACCTCAGATTTCTTCGAGTATGTCAACTTCAATATACAAGGAACAACAAACATTACAAATAATTGAAGTGTGCAAAATATAGATGGACTAAAAATGAATAATTTTTCATATATCTCTGAATCTTCCAAAGTTCACATTCTAACATTCTTCAGCATGTTATGATAACTAAGACAAATGAATAAATGATGCTAATGTCAAGGGCATGAACATATGGAAAGTATCAATTTCTTAGTATCAAAAACTTACTCAGACTAAAAAAATTCCTATGCTTCACTTAAATGTCAATTCTACAATAATTAATTCTACAATTCTACAATAAAAAGTAATGTTAAGGGCCCTCCCTGGTGGCGCAGCGGGTTAAAGCACAGCACTAAGAAGCTAAAGCCACTTCCGCATGAGTTCGATTCCCACCTGCCCCGGAGGTGACCACATGGTGTGGCAGACCTCTCCTGACCCGCCCGCTGCTCCCCTCAGCAGTGTACTTCGTGGATCTGCCTGTTCTGCACCCCACTCTGTCTCTGGTGAATCCTCTCACCCTCTGCATCTCTGACCTGTACCCCAGTTCTGTACTAATAAATAAATCTTTAAAAAAAAAAAATAATGTTAAAATAAAATGCCCAAATTAAAAAAAAACTGTAATGCTTAAATATGAGATTTAAAAATTAACTATATAATACCAACAATATGTATCAAAATCATAAGAAGTTTAGGATCTAATACAAAGAAGGCACTCTATTAGTAAATCAGAAACATTACATACCAGATGGTTATATTATAGCAGAAAATATACTTAGAGGAAGAAAACTAAAGTTTCCTAGAAAATCATATTGATAAGTAATACAAAAGTAAGAGGAAATATGAAGCACAGTGGTACCAATATTTTTCTAATTTTATGATCATTTCTGATACACTAGATGGATAGATTCATTAAAGAGGTAATCTTTGATTGCTCAGTAAACATGTAGCCAATATATTTATTTATGTTCGATTCTGTCTGTGCATAAAGATTATACATATACATAGTACCAGAAAATTTTAGCGAAGCACTGATCTCAGTGTATAGAAAACAGAAATTTATATTAAAAAAAAAATATATACCTTTTATCTGTGTAGCAAAATTCAATGCCAGTTTTGCAAAGAGATCTGGATTTTCATATTTTTCCTCCTTAACTTTTAACCAGAAGCAATTTTCAGATAATTCTTTTGGTTCAATCTGAAACAAATAAACAAAAATAATAGATAAATTTCTAGATTATTCACTACATAACAAATATTTCAAATAATTCACTTTCACCAAGATTGATTAAGAGTTCCTTTTTCATCTCTCTACTAGGTTAATTTTAGGATATATTAAAATAATACAAAATAATACCTTTAAAACAGATATTCCTTGAGAAAGTCACAGTATTTTACTGGTATACAGAAAACATACATGATAGCAGTAGCACATGTAGGAAGTTACATTTAAAAAATGTACAAGAATAAGGCCCTCCCTGGTGGCTTAGCGGGTTAAAGCACTGCACTGAGAAGCTAAAGCCACTTCCGCACTGCATGAGTTCGATTCCCGCAATCCCCGGAGGTGACCACATAGTGTGGCAGACTTCTCCTGACCCACCCGCTGCTCCCCTCAGCAGTGTGCTTCGTCGATCTACCTGTTCTGCTCCCCACTCTGTCTGGTGAAGCCTCTCACCGACCCTGAGCCTCTAGCCTGTACCCCGGTTCTGTATGTACAAATAAATAAATCTTTAAAAAAAAAAAAATAAAAAATAAATAAATAAATAAAAATAAAAAAAAATGTACAAGAATAATCTTAAAAATAATTTATTAAATCCCATCCCAACTCACAAATATGATCTTCTTGCCCCTGAATTTTTAATACTGGGGAACAATGATTTAGGAAAACAAATTATTCATTCTTACTACTAGATTGAAAGCCACAGCAACATTAGTTGACCTTACATAATTTCTACTATGCAACCAGTAAGTACTGCTTTAAGTGATTTATATATATTAACTCATGTAACCTAATACTTACAATAATCCCTTTAAGTATGGCTTATTGTCATCTACTGTTAGATGTTAAAGATGAGGAATGTGAGCACCAAACATTTTAAGTGGCTCCCCATGCTAGATAATGGTGTAGATGGGTTTAAATCCAGGCAATATAACTCCAGATAACTGCACCTTTGAAACCCAAGATTAGAACTATATTTCCCCAAATATACTAATGCTTTTTGATACAAAAGCACTATTACATTATATGACAAAAATTAACAAACATATTTATACACAGATAATTAGGCTTCTAGAATCTATAATTTGTTAATTGGGGCTAATAAAAAATAACTACATTCCAAAACCATTTATAATTCATTTACTCATGAGCAAAGCATAAGTATATGCTTAATTTTAAAAAGATTCAACCATTATTCTGGTTAAATCAATTTATTATATGGACAATCAGATATCACTGTATTTATGATTTTGGATGAATCATTTCCATATATATATGAAAACATATGTATGTTTTCAGTTTACAAGTCACCATGAGAACAGATAGAATTTTTTTAACCAAATGCTAAATTCTGGGAACTCCCTTTTATTAGAAAAAAAAAAAATAAACAAACACAAAAAGAGTCTATAGGAACATAATTAACCAAGGTTACAAGGTTCAATAATAAAAACTATATATATGTGTGTGTGTGTATACATGTGTATGCATGTATGTATGTATACTTAAAGTAAAAAATGGTGAAAGAATCAAAATTATTTTACATTTGGAGACATATTTGAGCAATATTATCTAATACTACTGTCACTGTGATTTTCATTTTGCTTTCTATATTACTTTTAAATATCCATGAGTTTCCAGTTATCCAGGTGCTAGAGTGAAAGATGATTATAACATGATGATCTCAAAGGTGAGCAAAAAGTCAGCAGTCATATTCTCAGACATTATGTAATATTTGTATATAGCAATGTAATTTTTGCACATTAATAATTAACTTGCATAGGAAAAACTAAAAAGCTCTTATCAAAGCACTACCTTTGACCAATTGATTCTCTTCATAGATACTTCAGGTTTGTATATTTTTTTCTGCTTCATTCCATAAGGCAGATCAAGAGGTATTCCGGGAGGAGGAGGAATTCCTCCAAGGGTAGGTGGTGGTGGAGGTCCCCCAAACAAAGGTGGTGGTGGTGGTGGTAAACCAATAGTTCCAGGTAAGGGAGGTGGAGGAGGAGGTAAATCTCCTCCAGGTAGGGGCGGAGGTGGTGGAGGTGGTGGCGGACATGGCCCACCACTGGGCCCTGAAGGTGCTGAAGGGCCTGAGGAACTTGACAGGGCCTGAAATATAAAATTCAACATTTAAACATGTATAATAATACATACCAGAGAAGAAAACTTAGAAGACGTTTGTGGTGGTTTGCTTAATATCATATATACTTTAAGTTAGTGACACTAAAGGGCTAAGCATGACATAAGAGATATATTGAAAAACGTTATAACCTCCGAACAACGACTACTTCTGTTCACAATCTAATGCTAGGAAAGTTGCCATTCTCAAAGATTTTATGAAATACTCCTCCAAAATAATGAAAGCTTACCTTTCCCTGTAAATATATGCAAAGCCAAAGTACTGTATGGCTTTGACCTATTAAAAAAGTTGGTTTGAATATGAATAATTAAAATGTAAACATAGATTTGATTTCCGTGGGGTCCAATTAGCTTTACAAGGAATCTATTTCTTAGCACCAGTTATTTAGCTGCATTGCAACACCAAGAATTAACAGTAAATAACATCAGTTTGCATAACAATACATGTTTATTGATATTTTTACATCTATTATTTTTTATTAATATATCCTCCTAAATAGGGCACTTAAAATATATCATCATTAATTTACATGTTATCACTGTACAGGGATCATGTAAATCTATCTTCCATTTTGGTATATGTGCTGGCAAAGCGAGTACTAAATATTGTTTAATCTCACATTTATCTTACTGTTTATAGATAAACTATAACTACAATAAGATAAAGTAACTAATCAAAAGTCACATAGTTTGCAATGTGATTAAGACTTGAATGTGGTTCCCATACTTACAAGCTAATGACTGCATTATGAGGAAAGGATAATTTATTTCCACTACTAGACATTAGCTTCATGCTCATCCACTGAAGATTATGAATTACAGATGAAGGAAAAATCACATTCTAAATTATCTATTTTGTTGATGATTAATCTGTACCTTTTTCTTTAAAGCAATATTGACAACAATGGTTCAATTTCTAAAACAAATTAATAAAAATCTGAAGTTGTTTACAAGAAACATTACTAAGCAACTCCTACCAATGTGTTGTAATTAAGATATGGAATTATATATATATATATTAAAGATTTAATTTATGCATACAAGAACTGGGGTACAGGCCAAAGGTGTGGGGCTGGGGGGGTGAGAGGAGTCACCAGAGACAGTCACCAAGACCAGAACAGGCTGAATGGCTGAAATACACTGCTAAGGGGAGCAATGGACAGGTCAGGAGATGTCTGCTGTGCCATGTGGGTCACCTTCCTGGCTGGGGATTGAACTTGTGCTGCAGTGGCTGCAGATAGCTTCATAGTGCCGTGCTTTAATTCCTTGTGTTAGCAGGGAGGGCCTAGACATGGCATATTAACTATGAAATATGTCATTAGATTAAACTCAAAATGAAAGGTTTAAAATTAATGATTTTTTGGTGTAGTATTTTTATTTGGGGAGAAAAATCTTCCTCTGTTTACTAATATGATTTTTCTATTTGTATTACTTAATTGTTCTAATTAAATTTAGAAAGCTTTAGGTAAGTAAATTGAAGGGTATTTTTGAAACAATCAGTGTAAAGGATTAATAAGAATATTAAAAATTAACAATTATAGATAAATAGGCTCATGGAAATCTTTCTGTTAGATTTGATGTGTATTGTTCAAATATTTCATTCACATATATAAATGTTTATGTAAATGCATATACATGTATGCAACTCAAATATTTAGACATTTAATAAATGACAAGTCTCTCCATTTAACAAATGACAAGTCTCTTCTGAGATTAGTAAAATTACAGAATTAAAAATATTCATACTTCTTTTAATATATTTCAGATCAGCAAAATTATAAAAAAAGTTTGACTTTATCATGAGTGAGATCAAATATATTTTAAGAAATATTAAAATATTTTTTTGAAAAGTTCAGGAAATTGGTAATTTAGCCAACAAGTTTTGCATATAAACGGATCTGTTCAATAATTCAAAAGGTAAAAATGCTATTTCTCTAAAAGTGCTACAAGACTTTAAAAATTTAAATCACATCAGTCCTTTTCTTCCCTCCCATAAAAAGTTAGCCAAATTACATTTGGCTATAAAAATGTATTAAGACTTGACTACAGTAAATTAATAATAATTTAATGTTTGACACTAGAAGGTGCTGCGTGGCTCTGCACTTTTACAGATCAGTTAACTTAATAATAATAGGCAGCTACTATTTAATGGTAAGGCCCTCTGATGTATTCAGTGTAAATTTGAATAAGACACTGGCCTCCAGGTTCTTATTCTCTAATGGAAGAAATAAAGCAGGCACACATATATGATATTTAAGGTTTACAAAAATGACAGATAAATTCCATAATTGAGTATTGGTGAATCTTTCCAAAAGATGTTCTTTTTTAAAACATCTTTTTTTATTTTATTTTATGCGTATAAGAACTGGGGTGTAGGGCCCTCTCTGGTGGTACAATGGGTTAAAGTGCAGCACTACGAAGCTATCTACAGCTACTGCAACATGAGTTTGATCCCTGCCCAGGGAGGTGACCCACACGGTGCAGCAGACCTCTCCTGTCTCTCCCACTGCCCTCCTCAGCAGTGTATTTCCGTCCATCTGCCTGTTCTACTCCCCCCTCTGTCTCTTTGAAGCCTCTCACCCACCCCACCTATGGCTTGTGCCTTACTTCTGTATGCACAAATAAATAAATCTTTAAATAAAACCCACAAGAACTGGGGTATAGGCTACAGGGGGGTGGGGGGAGGGTAGAGGTTTCCACAGAGTGGGAAGCAGGACAGGCAGATCTATTGAAACACACTACTGGGTGGGGGGGGGGCAGCGGTGGTCTGTTGTGCATGTGGTTTTTAGTTACCTGGCCAGGGATTAAATTCATGCTGCAGTGGCTGGCAATAATTTGATAGTGCTGAGACTTTAATCCCAGTGCCACAAAGGAGGCCCCCAAAAGATTTTTTTTAATAATATAATAGTTTATTTTTACATTATTTGGTGCATTTTTCCATGACAGTCACCCATGTGCCATCACCAAAGTCCAGTACATTTCCCTCCCCGCACTGTTTTTGATCCCATTCCCCACTCCACCCCCATAAATTGTCTCTGGTATATAACTATTCATTATTATTATTATTATTTTCTCGCCTGGTCCGTTACACTCCTGCTATGAGTGAAACCATCTGGTATTTTTCCTTTTCTTTCTGGCTTATCTCACTAAGCATGATCATTTCCAGCTCCGTCCATGTTGCTGCAAAAGGCATGTATTTCTTTTTTTTTTTTTTGGTTTCTGAGTAATATTCCATTGTGTATATGTACCACATTTTTTTAATCCAGTCATCCACTTTTGGGCATTTGGGCTGTTTCCATATCTTTCCAATTGTAAATAATGCAGCAATAAACATGGGGGTGCAGGTGTCCTTTTGAATCAGTGTTTTTGTGTCTTACCCCAAAAGATGTTTTAATGAGCATGTTCTTAAAGGGTTTATTTCATAACCAGAGATAATCAAAGGAAAGAAAGCATTTATAACAGTACAGTATGTCAGCATTTCTCAACCAAGTTCTGTGAAATTTTATTTCACTTCCAGAAAATTTTAGTACATTGAAGTAGAGAGTTCTGCAGTTAAATGAGTATGGAAAAACTATATAGAAAATAGACAGTTTCTTCAGTGTAGGACATCTCAGAATTTTTAGTATTGTTAATGAATATAATGAAACTTCAAAAGGAAAATTTCAAGTGTATCAAATTTATTGAACTAAGGAATGTTTTTTTCTTATGAAAAACCTGTTAGTAGCTCTATAATTAATGCTTGGGGAATACTGGCAGAAGGAAAAGTATGGAGATGGTATATTTTAAATGTGACTTAGGTACAACAGAAGCTGTAGTTAGGGGAGTCGTCAGATACTAGGCTGCAAAGGGCAGATAAGGCAGCCCATGATAGAAGGCCTTCAAATTCCTGGTAAGGCAATTTTTATTTAATCCTCCATGGAAGAGGCAATCACTGAACATATTAAAGCCTGGAGTGACAATGAGTAGGCAGTGATATAGGAAGATTAATTTGCCACTGACATAAAGGATATTTTGTGGAGGAAGAGACTATCAGCAAGGAGATAAGTTAAGGAATACTTATAACATTCCAGGTAGGAGGCAATGGGACCGTGACAAGGATAGAGGAGTTGGACCCTGGGTTATGATACAATGAAAAAAAAAGTTGTAGACTAAGTGACAAAATGCTGACTGGATTTGTCATATGGTAGGGCAGGGGAAGACCAAAGAAAGCTTCAGCTTTACTATAAAAAAAAAAAAAGTAATGAAATCTAAACTAATAAGAATGGAGAATAAGAAAGGAGTACACAAACAATGGGCTTAATTTGAATAGGTGGTAGAATATTCCCATGTGAGAAATCATCAACTGCTAGAAATATAAGACAAAATCAGGAGAACCAACACCTACCAAAAACTGTATTTTTAATTTATGATTTATGATGCTGAGTGGTATATTAAAGCAAGGATTTATATAGAGAAAAGAGCAGAGAACTGATCATTGTGTAATGTCACCATTTGGGGGTAGAAAACATAAAGAGAAACTTCAGTTTCCCAAAATGTCAAAAAGGAAGTCAGGTGACACACACAAAAAAAGATTCACTGAGAAGAGAAGTATCAAATATGTGAGCTTTTCCTAAGGGTAGGAAAAGTTCATTACATTGCATAACTTGGAGTTCATTGTTGACTTGTTATTTTTCAGTCAGACCAACGGATACAGAACTAGTCAATCAACAAAAATGTCTAAGAGATAATCTTTTATTTCATATATGCAATTAAAATATAAAATGAGTTGAGAGCACTTAATCATCTCTAAAGTTTAGATACCCTAATTAAGATTTTAAGTGTATATGGGAGCTTTTCATCATAAGGAATGTTAAGTGGAAATGTAAAATTTATAGGGTTTGAATCTATGGCAGTCAACTAAAATGTGAAACTACAACAAACGTGCTCTTGGTCACATTTTTCCTTCTATCTTACAAGAAAATTTTCTACCACTTAATTCACTATGACCTGACATGCAATTTATATCTGGTTTCATTACCTGGGTTCGAAGTTGCTGGATCTCTGTTTCAAGCTCTTTGATTTTTTCTTCTTTTTTTTGAAGCTCGGCTTGAGCTTCCTGTCGAGCTGTGAATTCTTCATCAAACTGCAATGATCACCACCATAATATACACTTAATAATTTTGAGAACATTTTAAACATTATGAGTTAAATAAGTGGAGTATCTTTTGCTTTGCTGAATACCCAGATCACTCTGAAAATCACTTCCTGATTATAACAATCAAATGCCCTTGTGTGGGCAGGGTACAGCTTATTGTAGTAGTGGTAGTAAAGAAAAAAAATATGCTCCCTACCCAAGGCAGACAAAGCCATTTTGATTTCTGAAAAATAAAATAAAATAAAGAGTGGTCTTCGAAGACCCTCTTCTATATAATGAATATTTTTGTTTTGTTATTGAGTGTAATGTTTTAGAATTAATAGTGTTTATTTTTTCACTGTATGATCTCATACTTTCAAGTTTATTGAATTAAAATGTAAAACCTAATTAACCATCAAGCAGTTCAACTTAATTATATTTAATCTTGAACTGATAAAAGATTGTACACTTAAATAGATGTGCACTAATATAAATTAGAATACTTCTTTACAGACTTAATTGTCTATCATCAAAAAAGTTGTGCTCCACAAAATCTGATGGTAGGATTACATAAACTGTGATGGCATTCTCTTTCAGAGGGCTAGCCAAAAACTGTATAAAATGTTATAAAAGGAGAAATGAAAAGTTAAATTGTGGTGTGCAAAACCAAAGACACCATCTTAATGGTGCATATTCATTGACTGCATTCAGCATTCAACTCAGTCAGGACTCTACACGGGCCCAAACAAGCCTGAATACGCAGCATGAAGAATGCTTAAGTCCAGCTATGGAACATTTGATTTTTCCTTTCTTGCCATAGTCACTTCCAGTTTTTTTTAGAAATGTACACATTATTCCAACAATGTTATTTCTGTTTATAAAAATGATTGTCTTACTATCTAGAAGTATCTTTGGTGTTTATGAAACAATAAAAATATAAAAATACATGTTCTCTATTAATCAATATTTATTCTCATTTAGGTCTGTCCTTTGGGAATTATGAAACACCACTCAGGTCCAACATTAAAAAAACTAGAAGAGAAAATTAGATAGTAATAGTCTTAGGAGAAAACCTCAAATATCATCCTGAGTCTCTGAAATATGTTCCTCAGGGATGAGCAAATCTCTAGTATCTCCAAATTTCCAATTCACTTTAAATTTCTTCACAATCAGTGAGTAACCTTGTAGCCAAGGTCATTGAGAAGATGGAGGTCCTCTAGATTGAGTTTTTCAAATTTACTACTACTACCCATGTTATATTTATATGAAACTAGACTTCCAGCCTCCTTCCTTAAGTTAGCTTCTTCAACATATTTCTTAAGCATGGTATCTACACATACACACAGTACAAAAGTTTCCTGTACAAATGGTTTATTAATACATTTTAAGAGAGATACACATATCTACTTATAATTTTAATGACTTTAATCTATAAATATGAGGAATATAAATCACAGGAACTTGATTTATGTGAGCTAGAAGACCTCTTACAAGTCCCTAAAATTATCCTCTTCTTTTAATGATGAAGAATCTAAGATCCAAGGAGAATAAGTAGCTTACTTAAAATCACAGCTAATTACTGGAAGAGTTGAAATCAGATCTTAGAAATAGTGCTTCTCAGTCTTGAACCCCTTTTAAATTTATGTTATACTGCCTCTTAAAATGAACCAGAATAAAAAGACATGCAGAAAACTATTGGGAAATCATGCATGTTCTCATTTTAAATGTTGGAGTTGAGAATAAAAAAGCAAACACCAAATCTCTTTTTGTTATTTAGGACTTTCCACATAATCACAGAGAAATTTTTTTCTGTATAGACTATCACAATTTGCTTTAGTCTTGTGGTACCTAGCCATAGTGTCGTAGAATAATTAAGGGAGTTCTAAGATTTTCAAAAGGAATTTTCAATGCATTACTTAAAATAAAAACATTAGAAATATAAAGGTCTATTCATCAAAATGTGTGCATTTTTTCTCACCAATAAAAGTGGCAGCTTCACACAAACATTTTATGCTCAAGCTTTTAAAGTCTATTCTAGTAACTGAAAGAGCAAATACATATCTTCATATGCCCTGAAGTTACTTCAGTAATACTGTATAATTTCTAGAGTGATAGCAAAAGTGATTATCTAATCTCCAAGGTAAGTCATAACTTTGAGAAGACAGCAATATGTAAGCACTTTATCTTGCTGTCAGAAGACTGAAAACTGGAGAGCTTTTGGAGTAGTGCTTCAATCCTTCTTCTTGCCACCAATACAAGAGAAATACAATATTAACACTTCACAGAGTCTTAAAAAAATAACAAAGAAAGAAACCTCTTGTTAAAGTTAATAAAATCATAACTACGCTTTTATGAAACAAGAAAAATATAACCTGAGACTTACATAAGATTAACATATTCATAAAAATGGCATTTGCCCATGGTATTAATAGAGAAAGAAAGGGGGACATCAAATTCCATCAAGCTTACATTGGAGGATCAACATCATGTTTTAAAAAAAAAAAAAAAAAGGGCTCTCCCCGGTGGCGCAACAGGTTAAAGCACCGCATTATGAAGCTCTCCAAAGCCACTGTAGCACGAGCTCAATCCCTGGTCAGGGAGATGACCCACATGGTGTGTCTTTGACTCACCCACTGCTGCCCTCAGCAGTGTATTTTGTCAGTCTGCCTGTTCTGCTACCCATTCTGTCTCTGGTGAATCCTCTCACTCACCACACCTCTGGTCTGTACTCCAGTTTTGTGTGCATAAATAAATAAATCTTACAAAAAATCAATTACAAAATTCAAAAAACATAAATCAAAGCAGAGAGTGATAGAGAAATAACAATGCATTATGTTGCTACATATAGTACTGACTTCAAAGACCCAACATAGAAGACTAGCTAAACATCTCACAATTCTCCAAGAAGCTACCTATTGTGGGAGCTTCAGGTAAACAACAGAAGAAAGTACTTTGGTTGATCACTTCTAACTATATACTTCCAGCAACATAATTTTATTAACTAGTTGAATAGAACAGGGCTAGTGTTTTCCTGCTACATTGGTTTAAATATGATGAACAGGGAACAGCGCCAACCTTCTGTTATTAGGAAATAAATCAATATTATATATCTGTGATTCAAGAAACATAAAATACTACATAACTGAAACAACATTCATAAGACCTCCCATTAAGAAACAAGGTAGAATATGTATTGTGATATATTAAAGTTGCATTGTGATGCATTAATTAATTTAACAATCATGGCTGATAGTTTATAAGTCTTACCTTCTTTGAGAATTCTACTGCTTTTTGTTCACTTTCTTCAACCTTTGCCTTGTTCACACAAGAATCTATTAAGATTAACCAAAGGTAATTAAAAATCATTGTATCGAATTTCTATGCAAAAAGATGGTTTCCAGCCTATAGATCTACTGGGCAGAACATTATTTCAATGCTAATTTCTATTGAAAGGAAATTTACCTATTCTGCACATAAAAGATAAACTACCACACCTTCTTTCTTTTGCATACTAACTGAATTCAATGATAGTACTGTTGAGGCATAAAGCCAAGTATATTTGATTAAATAATTACTTTAAGATGCTTGATTATTTTCCAAATCTTGCAATCAGAAATCTTCATAACTGTCTTTGCAGTGTATTATGAGTGGACACACAGCAGATTATCTATACTTAGGATTATTAAAGACTCAAATGATTCTTAAATTAAAATTGGAGGGGGCCCTCCCTGATGGTACAATGGGTTAAAGCACAGGACTGAGAAGCTAGCTGCAGCAGCTTCAGCAAGAGCACCATCCCCAGACTGGGAGGTGACCCACATGGCACAGCAGACTTCTCCTGTCTCGCCTGCTAGTCCCCTCAGCAGTGTACTTTGTTGATCTGCCTGTTCTGCTTTTTATTCTGTCTCTGGTGAATCCTCTCACTGCCCCAGCACCTCTGGCCTGTACCCCAGTTCCGTACGCATAAATAAAATAAATGTTTAAATACATAAATAAATAAATAAGTTTTCCACTTGTTTTAATAAACTAATTTCAGTGGGAAAATACGGTCCAGGCCTTTTTCTTGGTCTGTACCCCAGTTCTGTATGCATAAATAAACAAATCCTAAAAAAAAAAATATTGAAGGGGGGAAATACAATAACATTATTCCAGGGTTACTAAACAAAGACTCACCTAAATAATTTTTTTTTTACTTTATTAATTTATATTTGCATAAAAGAACTAGGGCATGAGCCAGAGGTCTGGGGAATTAGAAGATTCACCAGAGATAGAGTGGGGAGCAGAACAGATGGATCTACTCAAATACACTGCTGAGAGCTAATATCAGTCCAGAATAATAGAGTTCATTTCCTTAGCAATCCAAGTAGAGGAACATGATCACCTCAAATGTTTTCCTAGCACTAAGGTCTATGAAAATTTAAACTGATATCCTTTGATAGAGTTTGAAGGTTTTAAAATTAACTGAAATAAACCTGTACTCTAAGTTCTCACTTAAAGATGTAGATAGATTCTTGGAGCCTGCAATTTTAAGTGAAAAAATACAATACAATATCAAGATTGTCAATGGTTAATTGACGTAAACAACATATTTTCAATCATGAAGACAACAGCAAACTTCTAAATAAAGACTCCAAGCATATCTAATATTAAACAATTATTTGTATTTATTCATACCATTTATTTTTCAAGCCACTTATTCAAATTCAGGGTGATAGGTAGCCAAAATCTATCCCTGCAGCTTAGGGTACAAAGCTGGAACCAACTTTAGACAGGACACTTCCATTGCAGGAATCTAACACACATCTCCACACTTACTGAGAGTGGGACAACGTAGATATACCATTGAACCTAACATGCACATCTTTGGGATATGGGAGGAATCCAGATTACTGGGAGAAAACATACAGACCTGGCGAGAAGTGCAAACTCCACCTAGCAGTGGCCTTCATCAATGTTATAATGAAACAACATTTCTTGAGTATGTGCTGTATTTTTATTCTGAAACTTGGACAATACTAGCATACTTATGAATTAATTCAACACTATCATAGACATTATTTCTACAGTACCAGTATAAATGTGTAAACTGAATAGAAAGATTGATTTTAGAGTCATGGTTCTAGAAAAGTTATTTTTGGGAGTAGGCTTGTATTAATTCTAACACTGCATTCAAGTTGAAACTTACCAAATAGGTTTAAAATTCCAATCACACAGGCAGATCTCTCATGATTAACATACTCAAAATAATTACAGTGATTGAGTACTCAAAGACATAAAAATTTATCAGATACTAATAGAGGAAGTAAGTTGAGAGAACTAGCCATAAAGGGCCTATAATAGGAAAAGAGTAACTATAATCAAAAGATATTGAGCATTATATTACATACCTATCAGATGAGTGAAATCAACATCTAATCTTTGCCTATACTTGAAATCTGGGTCCATACCACTGCAGTGAAGCACTATCTGTGAAACACACTCCTCAATTATTTTGTAATATTGTGGCCTGAAAGAGAGACAGTATTCCTGAATACGTTTCCTTCTTACACAAATAAATTTTTATAATAAGTAATTCAGCATGATAAAGAACTATGTCTTTTCCTAGTACTATAAAAAATTCTTCTAGCCACTCCACAGCCTTAGGAGAAATATGTCTACACTTGGAAATGGTCTGAACATTTTAAAGCAAAACTCATTGTGATGTAGTCAAGTGTGAACATTTAGTGACTTAATACTCTGGTTAGCGGGGATTCATGCTTATGTTCAAAGATACTTATCAACCTTCTCTACTTACTAAAGCTATTCTTCCTAAAGTTAATGAAAAGCAATGACCTGTGAGCCCTATATCCATGAATACAGAAATAGTTCTGGGCATCTACAAGTTCTCAATTTCAATAAGGGATGAATATCCTGGCATTAGGCGGCAAGTGATGCATTGAATTTACTACAACTATTTTACTCAAGATAGCTATAACAGCTTACAAAACTGGACTGAGCCACTTATGTTACAGACTGTATCAAAGATCTATTTATACACATATTTTAAAGGATCCATTTTATAGAATCATACACACTTAATATGCATGGCTATAGTCCTGATTTGTTCAAAGTGTCAAAGGTTTGAACACATTCTAATTCTGCAATCGATCAAGGCAATTCTGGCTTTTAAAATAACCATTTGCTTACTTCAAAAATTTTGAAAGTTCTTTTGCCTTAAAGTTTGGGGGATATTAATATTATTGGCTAATAAATTTAACAGATAACACAAAAAATACTACTGTAGGCAAATTATGACACAAACGACCCTAAAATTATTACAATGATAACTAGCCAACTTCCTAAAAGTTTGAAAATATAGTCAAATATAATTGCTCATCTGTCTTTTCTTGTGGAACTAGGCTCAAGAATATACTTTATAACATTATACATCTGAGGCATTTCCAAGCTATCATCAAATCTAGGGGAAATTATATTTGTTACAATCAGTTTAGTCAATGATTCTTTTGGTAAATAAGGAAAACACAAACTTTTTTTTTTGAGGTCAGGTCATCTAAAATATAATAAAAGTGTTTGTTATACTTCTCAATCACATGGATGTTCTCAGAATGAAAAGGGTGCCATATTAGAGTAAATTATCATTTATTCGAAGTTACTGATAAATAGTTTCACACAAATTATTTCTACAGATATATGTTTGCCCATGGGCACAGTGCCCCTTTAATTGGCAGGACTTATTTTAGAAAACAGCAATCATTTAAAATGCATTAAATGTACCGCTAAAAAATAAAAACTCAGCAGATAATTTAACATTTTAAATACTTTCTGTCTCTGTAATATCATCATGCCCATCAATTATTATACAGATCTGAATTATAATAGTTCTACTCATGGCTTCACAACCTGTCATTTTTTTTTTTTTTTTGTGACTATGCTTGAACCCCTGGTAGCCTTCATTTTCCCTTAAGCAAGTTTGAAAACTCAGAGAACCAAGGTCCTCTATGTTGCCAGAATTTCATGCATAATTTAAGAGTCAGAACAACAACAAAGAGTGTGAACAACTGTTAAATGTAAGGTCATGTCCACTAGTTTATGGATAATTTCAGCCACTCAAAAACTGTTCTCAAATTTCCTTGCTTTCAGATATACCCCCAGTTATAAGATGCTAAAATATCTACCTTTATGGATTAGTATCATACTCATTTATTTTGAAGGATTACATTACAGAAAATAAAGCTAAAACAGCTGCATTATTTTCAAGGTTAAGATCACATCTATTGCTAGATAAATACAATAAGAGAGAAATAACAATAAAACCACATTTATTAAAATACACAACTTAAAAGTTCTACTGTAGAATCTTCAGTGCCTAGTTTGAGAAAATTCATCAAGGGTTCAGTAAAATCTATTTGGTTCATTGCTATTAAAAGTCCTGTCACTGGGGTGTTCTATTTTTATAAATAGATTCTTCTGTTCCTTGAAAATAAACTAAAACCATTTATAACCTTAGCAAAGTCATCAAGCTCTTACACTCTATGTATGTATACTGCCTAGCTCCTGCCACATTGTTAATTTGCTTTTATGATCTAATTCAAATTACACAAATAATGCTCTCCTGTCAGATTCTTACCTGATATAATAATCATTTCTGATAAGCAGGAAGTGTTGTAGAATGGACAATAAGTAATTTTCAGCAGCAGTGTCTTTCAACATATTGTACAGAAGATGGTATACTTCATTCATATCAGTAGATAGTAAGTAAAGGAAAACAGTTGAAGATTTTTGAAAATTTCATCCATAACAAAGCATTTTTTTTGAAAGGCAGATGTATCACTTTGTTTTCATTAATGTTTCTAAACTTTCAATTCCAGGATTCATATTTATACAGTAAAAAGAGATGAGCATTTCTAAGACCACTGAACTATCAAAACTTTAAAATATAAAATTCATTATATTTTTAATTATAAATTATTGACGGTACCCCTGGAACAGCCATGCCATCAATGAAAATGGTTTTCTCTTGATTTTTTTGTGGTTGTCAAAGGACTTACATTATTCATGCAAGCCACTACTCTATTTTCATATGACAGAAGGCAAAAGAACATTTTGTTCTTTTTTATGTCCAAAAGGTCACAAATGCCTTTTATATATATTTTTTTACATATAGATGAAATATTTAACAAATATGAAATGATTATTATTTGCATTCCTTTATGTTTCATAATTTGAAAAAAGAGTAAAGACAATGGAAGCTTCAACATTTTTCTCAAGATAAAAAATGTTGGTAGAATTTTAAATGTTTATAGCAAATGAGGAAACATTTCAAAAATGTGTTCACTTTTATGGTAAACGTGAGACCTGAAAAATTGATGTGAAAGAATGATAGAAGAGGAGATTAATACATCTTAAAAATAACCTGGAATGTCTACATGTTTTTGAAGTAGAATCAAATATATGATGGATTATTTCTTAGATCCAATGTAAGAGTATTGTGTAAAAGTCTCATAAGGTTCCTTAAATTGTCATACGATAGATCTAAAGATAGCTTTGTGGTAAAGTTTGACTATAAGAGATATTAATATAAAGCAAGGAAGCAAGAAATGTATTAATTGATTTAAAAAGCATTTAATATTACAGAAACCACTATAATGTCACTAATAATGCATAAAATATTATTAGAAATTATTTCTTATTATAATCAAACTTATTCATTGATACATGTTTACCTAATACTTTTGAGTAAGACGTTTTGATAGGTGTATTGGAGGGAAATGATGAAGCATAACATTTCTGTCCTCAAACCTATAAGGATATAGATATGTACATAAATAAGACAAAAACATAGTATTTCATGCTATGATGAGGAGAATATTAATATCTTTTTTTTTTCCTTTTCAGGGAAGAAATTATGGAGAAAAAAAGCCTAACTGAAAGAACACTTTGGTTCTAAACTACTTCCCAATTTTTCCAAATTCCCTAAGTAATAAACAGGTGTTGAAAAAAATAACCAGCAGTGCTATACCCATATTTTAGGTCTAAAATCACTTCATGTAAAATTATTGCCATAGAATTATATGCTAGTTGTAGTTGATTCAAATGCATTTACCACACAGCCTTGTTATAGTTACTTATTAAAATGAAACTTTTTTTTTTGAGAAACCATGTTTGGACTGGGAATAAGGCATAGGCTGGAATTTAATTATATTTTCAAAGCAATAAAATATCACCTATAAAATGAAAAATATATTGCCTATATTTCACATATGAACTCAGTGAACTTTTTCCAAAAAAATCTTTATATGTGAGGTATACTGCCTTAGACTCCTATCTACTTAAGACCACTGAGCAGAGTATAATTATAATATAGCAAACCATTATTTCAATTTCAATAGTCTGTATAAATCATTAGTAGATTGTGATAATTCCAAAACATGAATATTAAGAACAGCATCACATTGAGATTCTAATATTAAAAAAGTGGAGATAAATTGGTCTGGCAGAAAAGAATAATCGTCATCTACAAAGTCACCCATAAGTCCTTTTTTCAAGTATATGCAAAATGGCTTTGTGATTCCTCAAAAGGATATTCCATTTCTGCTCGAATGTCATTGAAACGGTGCGATAATTCATTTAAGTCATCCTCTTTGTTCTCATCAAATACTTTCAACTGAATATCAAGTTCTTCATTCTCTTTTTCTTTAAGATCCTAATATATAAAAATAAAACATAGTGAATAACAGTCTGACAACATTATATACTATTAATAATGACCAGAATACTATTATTAATTTATATACACAGATGCAAATTCAAATACCAACCCGAGTACTCAGTTTCCTGAAAGTAAATGTACCATGATTTTCTATTAAAAAAAAAAAAACTTCACTGTATTTATTGCATTTTCTTCCCATGCCCCAGATTTTATTATTCACATTAAAAAGTTAACAATTTCTACAACAGAAAAAAAAATTGCTACCAACCTAAATTAAATGCTGTCTTTTGACTAAATATACTAATGAAAGATAGCAAAAGAACTCATGCAGTTAGAACATTCACAATTGCCTTTGGCAAAAAATGCAAATATAGATCAATTATATTAGTGAAGAACAAATGCAAGGATATATTCAAGTACAACAGTCCCAAGTATGGCGTATAGTTGTATAAACAAGTTTACTTTAAATATTTTGTGATTTAAACAAATTAAAAAAGCATTATGATTTTTTAATCAAGCTGCATGTCTAGCCTCCTATCCCACTTTCCATTTTTGCTTAGGAAATCACAAAATACTGTCTTGGCCATCAAGTTTTAATAATATATACCAGCACATGCATTACAAAATTCTGATAATTTTCAAAATAACAGTATAAACAAAATCTTTGGAAGCATGCCTAGAGATTGTTGGGCTTAATATATATCACCTGGAATATCTTTTAATATGTATCCATTAAGGTGCTGCTTTCAAAACCCAAATAAATTATCACAACTGTAGATGTTCAAGGCTGATAATGAAAAGGACTAGGATGCTCAGAGCTGAACTCTAAAAGGAAATGCAAGCATGGTGTACTTCAAATTAAGTAGATAAAACAAAGCTGGGTACATTTCTTATTTCTATTTCATTACAATAGAACAAATATAAATGAAGATATAATGGCTACTATTGAAGCCAAACATAAATGTATGCAATTTCTAGATGTTCTGTTTCTAACATTCACATATAATAATTTACTTAAAAATTTATGAAAACATTGTTTCTAGAGACTTTCATATAAAATAAGTAACAAAAATTTTCCTATGTATTAATAACTTGGTTTTGATCTAGTTTTTACCCTGAAGGGAAATTAATAAATTTACTAAAATATTAAATAATCTAACACCCATGGGTCATATTATCAAGGTGATTTCTGAACTCCATTCAGAAAAGAAAGAGAGCAAAATATTCCCAATATGGTGGTCATTTCATAAACAACCCTTTAACATATTTTAGAATATGTACCTACATTATTGGAATTTCACAATATAGTCTCTCTCAGATGCTCACTGTAAAACACATTCAAACATTTGAAAAATAAAAACATCTAAGTTAAACACTGTCTGGCCTCTCTGGTGGTTCAGATGTTAGTCTCAGTACTATCAAGCTATCCCAGAAAATGCCAGCACAATCCCTAGCCAGTGAGCTAACAGGCTCCGTGGTGCAGCAAACTTCTCTTGTCTCTTCCACTGCTTTCCTCAGCAGTGGATTTCAGTAGATCTTGTTCTGCTTCCCAATCTGTCTCTGGTGAATTTTCTCATCCCCTGCACCTCTGGCCTATACTCCAGTTCTTGTATGGATAAATAAGTAAAAATAAAATCTTTTTAAAAAATGTTAAAAGCTGCCATATAATTAGCACCAGAATTTTATAAAACATGGAAATAAATTTGCATGATTAAAAAATTTTAGTGACAAGTTAAATGAATGTTCAGTATATATTTTTTAATGTTCAGTATTTTTTTTTTAAGATTTATTTATTTTTCATACAGAACTGGGGTACAGGCCAGAGATGTGGAGGGTGAGAGGACTCACCAGGGACAGAGTGGGGAGCAGAACAGGCAGATCAACGAAGTACACTGCTGAGGGGAGCAGCGGGTGGGTCAGGAGAGGTCTGCCACGTCATGTGGATCTCCTCCGGGGCAGGCGGGGATCGAATTCATGCGGAAGTGGCTTAAGCTTCTTAGTGCAGTGCTTTAATCTGCTGCACCACCAGGGAGGGCCATTAATGTTCAGTATTTTTTTTAAAAAAGATTTATTTATTTATGCATATAGAACTGGATACAGGCTAGAATGCAGGGGCAGTGAGAGGATTCACCAGAGAAAAAATGGGGAGCAGAACAGGCAGACTGACAAAGTACACTAATAAGGGGAGCAGGAACAAGGCAGGAGAGCTCTGCTGCACCATGTGGGTCACCTCCCTGGCAGGGGATCAAACTTGGGATCAAACTTGTATTGACACAGCTGCTGTTAGCTTCATAGTGCTGTGCTTTCACCTGTTGTGCCACCAGGGAGGGTTCAAATGTTTATTTTTTAATAAGGATTAGATTTCTAAAATATTTATAATACATGAAATTTTACAACAATATATAAAGTAAATACATATATGGTATCTTATAAAGTATGTGCTAAAAATTCCAGACCTACTAAAATAAATGTACATGAATGCATATATATATATATATGCAAAACTTTCTTTGTCAAATGTGAAGACTTGAAAGACATATCCATAAGTATTCAAATACAAAAAAATTAGTAGATTTATTGAATTTATATGTTCTATGTCACAATTGACAGTCTATAAATGCAAATGGAACTGCAATAACATTTTATATTTAAGAATGTAGAATGTCATTTTAAAATATACACTGTCATTAATTATATGCAATACTATAAACATGTTTCAGTTATTTTTTAAAACAAACAGTGCTGGCCCTCCCTGGTGGCGTAGCGGGTTAAAGCACTACACTAAGAAGCTAAAAGCCACTTCAGCACGAGTTCAAACCCCGCTAGCCCCGGAGGTGACCACATGGTGCGGCAGACCTCTCCTGACCCGCCCACTGCTCCCCTCAGCAGTGTACTTCGTTGATCTGCCTGTTCTGCTCCCCACTCTGTCTCTGGTGAATCCTCTCAATGCCCCTGCACCTCTGGCCTGTACCCAGTTCTGTATGCACAAATAAATAAATCTTAAAAAAAAAAGAAAACAAAAAACAGTGGTAAAGATAAGAAACACTTTTGGCAGACTGACTGAAACACAGAATTAAGTCTTAATAACACAGTGTACTTCAAATTAAGTAAGTCTACTACTAGTACATGACTGATTATCAGTCAAACAATCACAGTTGAGTCTTCAAAAGAAGAAAGTGCTTGTTTGTCTTCTAAAAGAGATAATACCTATTGCCTACATACACAATTTCTTACTATTTGTTCCTGTACATAACTAATTTGTAATATTTTATTACTTGATTAACCAAAAGAATATGGAGAAAACATCACAAAAAATCAATGCACGATAACTATAGAGCAATGCTATTTTAAAAATTATGGTATAGTACATACATATTAACTCATGTATCCTAAATTACTAAAGCATATCTATGAAAAGTGAATTTTACATATAGATGAAGCATAAACTCCCTTTTTAAAGACCATAATTTAAAAAGAGATGGGAGATTTTGAAAAAGTTTTTACAGAATATCATTAAAATAATTGCCCTTGTCTTGAGGATTCTGATAATTATATGAAAAAAGTTTCATTTTACTGTACTATTATGATTGCCTGCGGGTTTATTGAAATAGCAAGAACTATTCTTCCCTAACATTTAATGACTCTAGATGGATATAAATTTTGATCTATATATCAATTATTAATATTAGCCATGGCCATGTCTAATTTGCTGCTTTAAATATGCTATATTTTAGAAAATTAAGAACTCTTTTTAGAAGAATGTATAAAATAAGAATAAATAGGGAAAATGTAAGGATTTTAAAGAGTCATCTATGTAGACATTATTAAGGTTCAATGCATATGTAAGAGAGGTTTAATGTTATCAATTTTTAAATTTCAATATTAGTGAATTTAATAGTGAATTAATAGGACAGTAGTTGGATATTAGTTATATCTAGCATACAATCTGGCCTTTGTTCCAAGTTGTAATAATAAAACTATAAGAAATATGGTATTTAAGAAAGGATCTCTAATCTTCTCAGGATTTACCTATAGAATCTACATTTTAGCTTTCATGTTGTATATCAGAACTAACTGGGGAGGATTTTTTCCCTCAAACCAAACATCTTAGCACTGCCCTCAATGAGATTTTGATTATATACTTTGGGGATACTGAACCTCTTGCCTAAGAACTATAATCATAACCGTATTTAGACTTATTTGTCTCCCTTGTCTTAGGGAGAAAAAAAAATAGAGAATCCTTGTAGGTTCTATTGCATGATTCATGAGGCAGAAATATGAAACTTCCCACTTTTCTCTTATGGAGAAATCACTGAATTCTATGAAACTGGGAGTCCTGAAGAGGTATGATAAGTAACAATCTAACTGGAATTATGTATAAGCAGTCCCTGACTGCTAATAGTTCAACTAATGATTTTCATCTTTATGATGGCTTGATACCAATATATATATATTCAATAAAGATCTTGCTTCAAATTTTGAATTTTAATCTGATCCTGGACTAATTATATGTACTCAGAGTAAGCCTAGAAAGTTAAATAAAAATAGCTTTAACAATATCATAATTAGAGAAACTATTCACATTTAACTTAATAAATAAAATTGGTTCTCTTTAGAAAAATACTGCAGTGCTGTGACAAGAATGCCATACTTAAGTAATGGATCTAGAATGTACCAGGCCCAACATTTTATGCAAATTTATACTGAATATAAATGAAATCAATTTAAGTTATCAAAGAGGAAAGTAAGAAGCTGAAAATTGAAACTGCAAAAAAAAAGTAATCTTTTTATGTTCTCAGTATTCAAATTTAAAAGAAAAGAAATTCTTTTTTGACTCAAGAAGACAAAAAAAAATCACATCATTTCTGGACACATCATTAACTGCATTCTGAACTAAAAGATAGATGGCAACACTGCAAAATGAGAAAGTTACTAAAACGTCTAAAGTTTTACAAAAGAAAAAAGTAGTGTGCATTTATTTACTCTTCCACAGGTACTTTTTTTCTAAGAAGAGAAAATTGTTAAAGTTTACCAGCATAATAAATGTGTACAGTCAACTTACTGGTAACATTGCTTTTAGTCCTGAACGCAGGAATTCATTCCTTAAATGTATTCGAAAATCAAGTTCATAAGGAGAAGTAACAAGGGCATTTATAAACTGCATGCAGGCCACCTGAAATTATAAAGCAAACCATGTGAAAAAAAAATCACGGATTTTTAAATTAAGGAAATATTTATTTTATGCATTCAGATAATGATTTTTCCATTCACTAAAGACATAACTTTAACAAAATTTTATAATATATACAAATATTTATAAAATAGCATGATATGAGTTCATTGTATAAACAACAAAACTGACATTGAGTTTCTAATGTCCAAAATTACTAATGATGATGAGGAATGGCCAAGAACTGCTATGATTTACTAAACAATATGAAGGAATATTGAACTCTCTGAGAAACTTGAATTTCCAAAATGTGCGTGTAGAGCTCTTTAGAAAATCATGAAATATGCATTTCATGTCTCAATGTCTTCAGAGTGTACTTACCTTCAATTCTATGTGCCTATAAACATTTTTAAATATAAATCAAATGATTTATAAAAGTATCCTGATATTATAGAGAGAACAGTGATAACTTGGTGAAATTATTACATTAATGCATATACTCTTTTTATCCTATTACTGAGATAGATTTGTACGGAATATAGAGTATAGGTATCTACCACTTTTCAAAAGTTTGCATTACACCAAAAGATCTATATTGATACCTGATTTTGCTAATCCCAAGAAATCTGAACTGGATTTTCCCTCTGACAACAAAATGCAAAAAAATGAAAACAGAATTCAGGACTACATAGGGAGAGCAAAACTCAAGCAGAGAGTGTAGCATTGCCAAGCATTTTTTCCTTTATTCTGTACAGGTTGTGTATTTTATAATACCATTCCTGCTTCTACTGATTATTAGTGCTTTATAGGTTTATGTGTTATTCGGTACAATTGGATAGGTTATCTAGGGGTGTCTAGGAAAAGTAAGAAAATTTTTTTTTCTTCTTATTATTTATTTATGTATGCATACAGAATGGGGTACAGGCCAGGAGTGCAGGGAGGTAGTAAGAGGGTTCACTAGAGACAAATTGGGGAGCAGAACAGGCAGATTGACAAAGTACACTGCTGAGGGGAGCAGCAGGCAATATGAGAAATCTGCTGCACCAAGTAGGTAAGCTCCCTGAGTGGGGATCAAACTCATGCTGCAGTGACTGTGACTAGCTTTGTCTAGCTTAGTAGTGCGTCAATCTGTTGCACCACTTAGGAGAGCCCTAAGAAATCTTTCCATATAAATTAAGGATAATTTCATCTTCCCTTTATGCCATTTCAGCTTAAGAAATGTTTCATAGGAATGCTCAATTTTTGTAAGAAGGAAAACCTATATTAAATATATGATTAAGATAATTTAATTGACTGCATAAAAATGAATGCATGTGAATTATGGTGTACTAGAATACACTATGACATCAAAACTAATGTGCACTGTATCATAAAGTTAATTATAAGGGCTTGTTTTCAAGTGAAGGTGATTCATTAATTATATTGACACTGGAAAATGGGTATTGCTTTTCTTGTCTTGTGATATTGAAACTACCTATTATAAAAAGGGGCTTATTTTATGTTAATTGTAAGCTAGCAGTTAATCAACAAAATGCAATTGCCAGACGTACTATACATTATCCCTGAATAGCTTTTTTTTTGAAAATGCTGCTCAAATCGAAGACAACTGCCTAATTGTCTAAATGAAGAGCTGCAAATTTAAATTGATTAAATATAATTTGCAATGAGTAGCAGAGTGTTCAAAGAGGTGACAGCAAATGGACTCCTGAAAAAGATCACATGTAGTAAAAATGTTAAGTACATTTAGAAGGGGACAAAAATAATTCGTTAGGAAGAAACTTAACAGAAAAAGATCCCAAATATATTTAACTTACTCAGAATTCAAAGGTATATTGCTTATATTTTGATATCAATATTTTTTTAAATTTATTTTTACATTATTCTTCATTCTGTGCCTTTTTCCATCTCAGTTGTAATCCCCCTTGACTCCCCAATGCCAATTAGCCCATGTACCATCACCATAATTCAGTGCACCTTTCCTACCCCATTTTTGATCCCATTCTGCATGCCACCCCACCCCTGTAAAATGTCTCTGGTATATATTTGTTCATTGTTTTTTTGTTTTTTCTTTATTACAATTTATGCATTTCAGCTTTTTGAGGGGAGATTAACCCACACCCCATATTTGGATTCAAATAACAAAACCTATGTTTCAAATAGAACGAGTGATATTGTTTCTGATACTACTAGATGATAATTGAACAAGACAGTCCAGTTCCCACAATTATCCAAATGTTGGGATAAAACAGATAACCGACTAAATATTTGCTGAATGTTTGACAGTATACAGAGACATACCAGATAGGTACTGTGACTCTTATGCTTTAATAGGTTACTTAAACTTCCTATATACAATTAGAAAATGTGTAAGACTTTATTTTGTTCCAATAGACTGGGCAATAAGTTTGTAAACTGTACAGGTCGATAGTTCTATTATCACTGTATTTGCTTGAATGATCCTTATTATAACTATGACATGACCAAATAAGCCAAAGTATATGTCCAATCCAAAATTAATAGAGAGAAAATTTGCCATCTGTTAGGGTTGTTTTTGCCAGAAGAAATTCCAGCTTAATGGCTTGTATTAATATCCTACAAGTAAAGAGAACATTTCCATACCATGTTAATGAGTCTTGGAATTGTATTTTTGTACAAATAAAACTACTTAGGTCAGGAGATGATAAAAATAGTAAGAGTCAATAAAACTAATGAATGTTTCAACATCAAAATAATTTTAGATTTAATACAATACATGTTGCAAGGCTATTAAATACCTTACATGCAATGTGTGAATATGTATTAAAAGAAGTTGTGTTTGCTGACTAGAATAAAATAGTTAGGAAACACTTTGAAGTCAGTTGTTTAAAATGTAATAGCACTGTCTTAACAACATACTGTTTACTATTTATCAAATTCTAATGATATACAAGTAACACAGATGATGAAAGTATGAAACTTATACTTTCATGTCATTTTCCAATAAAATCTGATAAAACAATACTTACAGAAATATTTATACCATTTGAACACGGAGTAGGAAAAAAATCAACTTTCTTTTATGCTACTACACAATTGCTGTCCTTTTGAAAGGGCAGGAATAAAATAAATTGAAAGTCAAAATAATTATCACTATTTACAGACTCAAAATTGAGTTTATAAAATACAATTGAAAGGTGGTCCTCCCTGGTGGTGCAGCGGGTTAAAGCACAGCACTAAGAAGCTAAAGCCACTTCAGCATGAGTTCCATCCCTGACTGCCCTGGAGGTGACCACATGGTGCGGCAGACCTCTCCTGACCCATCTGCTGCTCCCCTCAGCAGTGTACTTCATAGATCTGCCTGTCCTGCTCCCCACTCTTTCTCTGGTGAACCCTCTCACTGCCCCTGAACCTCTGGCTTATCCCCCAGTTCTGTATGCATAAATAAATAAATCTTTAAAAAAAATTTAACACACATTTAGTTTTCCATAATTTCCCCTTCTTCGTAAGTTATTGTATCTCATTATCAATGTGCCTTACTGACAGACGATAAATGATTTATACAAAGCTACTCCCTTATTTATGATGGTATAAGTGCACTAATAGCTAATTTAAAGATATCTTAGAACAAAATCACAATGCTCTAGGACACTGTGGAAAGAATCAAGCTACAAAGAGTCAGTCCATATATTTGAGTATGTCTATGCACTCACATCTATTTTTGTATGGAATTCTTTCTTAAGCAAATTATATAATTATCACATTCCTGAGCAAAATATCATATATATGACTTATTTAATTTCTTATTGATATTAAGCATCATTAAATACTTGAATTTATCAGCTATAATGTAACAAAAAGTTGCCCTCAGGAGCTATTGAAGTTTGTAGAATGGTTAAGACACAATAGAAAAATTGGAGAGGTTAAGACACAACAGTAAGAAAGAGCAAACAGGTTCTGATTAAAGACCAAAAGGTCTTTATCAACATAAGTTTTACTTGATAGGCTTGGTCACAATTTTTTTTTTCAAATCAAGGACCTTATTATTATTATTATTATTATTTTT